AGAAAGATCGCCATGAGTCGTTTTCAGCTTTAAAACTCTCATAGAACGCTTTCCTTACTTGTGTTCTCAAATTCTTGAGTTCACTGTTCCACCAAGAAAGAGACTTTCTCTTCTGCAAAACTGTTAGCGGAGTAGGTTTATTGAAAGTTGTGGTTAGTTCCTGAAGAATTCTGATACTCTTACTGCCTCCCTTCTCAAGGCATTTTTTTGCTATACTGGTAAATTTTTCCCATGCTGTTCTTCTTGGGTTCCGGTATGTGAGAGGAGCACTGTATTCCTCGCGGATGCTGAAGAATATCCAGGAGTGATCCGACACGGAAGGCTCATCGGATACCCTCCAGTTATCCACAACGAGATTGTCTGTGTCTGTTGATAGCGTGAGCTCAAGCACTTCCTCCCACCCTGGAAACTTATCAGAGCTTGGGAAAATAAAAGTGACTCATCTCTGGTGTTTATGCTGTAATTAGGACAAATAAATGCATTTATACTTTTATTGTTGTTGTTGTAACGGCGGAATTCTGCCGAGTTGACAGTCCTTGGCCGGATAAAAATCCGGGTCCGTTCCGATTTTCGTAGACCCGACTGTCGTGGGAATCCCCCCTCGTTCATGAGGGTTGTCAGAGTCGCTGTAGCACTCTTCGAGTGCTGCAGGTTTATCTGTACGCATCTTAAGTTATTGGGCATCTCGGGTTTCTTCGATGCCTACATTCCTTAGCAACTGGCTGGCGTCGTCGATCGAAGATTTTTAATCTGGCCTTGCGAATACCGAAGCTGATTTTGTAGTCAGTCTTCTTGAGAGCCTCAAATAGACTCATCGCAAATGGAAACCAGTATTGGTCTGCTTGCTTTATTTGGTTTTTCCTCCTTGATCAGCTGCCACTCATCTATACCAGGTATAGATTTGTTCTGCAGCTTAATACACCTCAGGAGTTTTTCGCCTGACTCCCCAAGAGGTAGCTAAAAGCGAGCACGAGATCTCTTTGGAGTGTCCCTGGCGGGTATAAGCCTCAATTGGAGGCCTACAAAGGCGTTGCTGATACCCGTCAGGAAATCTAGCGAGGCCTGGTCCGCCCACTTGATGATCCTGTAGCCCCTGAGGGTTGCCGAGGAGTCAAACTCCGGGTGAGGACCCGCAGGATTGTCGAGTATAAAGCTTAACATCATACTCGACCATCTGACGTCGATCTCCACCTATCTTTCCTATACAGTGCTCGGAGAGGAGGAATTTCCCAATTTCCCACGACAGCCGGTTCTACGTCCCTATTTACCTCTGACCATTCAGCCCATTCTTAGGGTTTTGTGAGTGCGGGTATCCTCATACTTCCACAATTGGAGATGGGCATCCATATCACTATTGTGGGAATTATGAGGTATCCGTCTCAATTCGTACGATTAGAGTGCGTTTCCTTTGGGATGCACACTTTACTCTCGACAAGGCGACCAACTTGAAAGGGTCACGAAAGGTACGAGTACAGTAACTTTAAGTCCGCTGGAAAAGAAGGTCAGCATTTAAAGGATTAAAAGACATTAAAAATTTTGGTAGGATAGAAATCTCGGAAGAAATTCTTGTTAATAGTACCAGTAATAAGAGATCTATACCATTTATTCTAGCCCAAATACAAAATTAATCATTATATTCAACGCCTGAACTAGCAATGGAAACTAATGTCCCCTACACACCTTATTCTTTCCGCATCGATGTTGACAAAACATTTACGCGAGTTAACTACGGTATCCCTGATCGCATGAGACTTTTCAATGGGAAATTCTGTCCGTAGTGATTTTGATTTCGATGCGGAATGAATTATTCGACCCATAGTATATCTTTTTAAATCCTGAATCCTGAAAAAGAGAAATTGTAAACTGAAGTGAGGCGTTTTTTGAGGGCTCTAAAGTGTCGTAGCCTCTTTGATGGAAAAAATTATGAAAGTATTTACATTTTCTACATTTTTCTGCTTATTAGTGTAATATTCTACTTAACTCTTACTGATTGGGATAACTTTTAATTAAGCTGATGCTGCGGACCTAAATAAATAATGCAGTTTTTAAGCAATATATTTCACAATCTTATCTTTAAAGTTATAAAAGCTAACTTGAAAAGACTAAATCTGTAACGAATGCAACTTTTAACACTTTCCGCAATTTTATAGGAACGGGAAGTGTGAAATGTCCCGCTATATGCGTAAATGCAGAGCTAGCGAGTGTGCAATGCGGAATTATAAAAGAAAATTAAGAAAAAGGAATGTTATTCAGCGTTTTTTTTTACAGAAATTTATTTCATTCAACAGTTTTTGGCTTATCAACATACGCCATCGCCCTTTGCCATTATCACCAACTTTTACCAATCCTCCAATTGCATGCCGTTATGTACAGTGATGTGCAAGTGCCCCGTGTGTGCGCACACAAATGGCCATCAAATGGACATTACGCTCTACAAGCCCACAAGGTGCTTAGCAATGCGTAGCGGTTGGGGAGACTGCACATAGGTTGGAGGGTGCCATAATCTTATGGTTTTATCGCCACTTGTTTGAACTTTTGTTGTCGGACAAGATGTCTTTATTAAAATATAAAAAAGACGAAGTAAAGAAAATGCCAACAAATCGCTGCCGTCCTCTTTTTTCTTGCCACATATTTGGTGGAGATTTTCACCCAAAAGCGGACAGATTTTTTCCTTTGATTATATTAAACAGTTGCAGTTTGAAGTAGTCTAGCCTGTGTAGACCCGACGTCTTCGTCATCTTATCATCATCTTCAACATAATTAAATAAAGCGTTAAAATTAAAAAAGGAAGTGCTGCGCCGGAAGCCAGACGTTATTTTCTACTTTAACGGTATGCTTTGAGCTGATGAAATTCCAATGATTGTGCTGGCGTTTTTTTAATTCAGCAGAGGAAAAAGTTAATTTTTGGCCTCACTTGTCAGCGCATTATGTGAACTTTGCCGGTAGTTGGTGAGCTAGGCGTGAAAGTGGCAAAATTTTCACAAAATTAGGTAAATGCTAGCAAAATATGTTACTAAAAAATTGTATGTGTCTGTGTATACGAACTCCAAAGGAATTTGAGGAATATAACGATGCAATTTTCAGTGATAGTCATTGGTAACAATTGTACATAGTTGACAAGTTTTATTCCCATATCGCTTAAGGGATTGCCAATGCCATTACAGCACAACTTTGTCACCACCTCATAAGTCAGTTCGAAACACTTTAATTCTTAAAGGTACTTTCATTAGAGTGGATAATAGCAAATGATTTTATTAAGTTAGTGACTTCTTCTTATATGATAAATAAAGGCTCAAAAGATTTACAGCAGCCCAGGACTCAGATTCAAAATAGGCGGCCCAAAGTAGATTTGCTTACAATATAACGAAGGTTTCGTGAACTTTTTCTACCTATAAAGTAGAGATGAACACATCCAGTCGGCCCTCATTACACTTTATTTCAATCGTGATCCAAGGAATCCTGAGGGATCTGGATTGAGTGTAGGCTTGTCCAGTAGAAAGTAAGTAAAATTGAAGTTGCTGATGTAATTGTGAAGCTGTTCCAAGTTACGCTTTAACAAATTTGCAGCACTGAGAACCAAAATTTCTACAGCCCTTTATTTAAGTTTCCTTTAGCCGATTCTCTTTTATTAATAGCTTAATGAAAAAATAAAAATGGAGTAATCGGAACACCTTTCCAATTTATATATAAAACTTTAGGAACTTGTTCTAGCTGACTTTGCTATAAAGAAATAAGTCACGCGTTCTTGAAACTGGTTTGAAGGATCGGTTCGCGATTTCGCAGAGTTTCCAGTTTCTTTAGATTCCCTATCACTAGTATATTCAGCATAGGGAAGTATAGCTAATGCCATTGTGAACGTAGATAATTTTCAAAGTTTTTCTCTCTTACCTGTTTTCAATTTCAATATCAATTAAACGTTTTTTTGAACTTTGTGTGGCTGACACCAGAGTCGAATAATCACAATGCTTACTGTTTTTGAATGACTTGATTGATTTAATTAACAATTTCTTCGTCTGAGAAGTACTTATTAGTAGCAGTTTGCACATTTCTGGCAAAAGATAGAAGGCACGGCTCACTGTAATGCTCTTATATATATGCTAGCCCGATGGTCGTTTATTAAGTGAGGGTGTTGTCTTCGCTGTCGCTCATCTTCTCAAGATATTCAAATAATTCTTGGCGAAGGCATTCACTGCATAACAAACATAAATGTATGTATGTATGTATGTATATGCAACTTTCTTGTTTATGTAACCTTCAATATCTTGGCCTTTTCTTCTTTTTAATTAAAACGTTGAAATCGCTAATTATTTGCTTCGCGGTGTGGCAATGGAAGCGCTTTGTGTGTTTGTCTAATGTCGCGCTCAAGTATTTACATTATTAGATTTTTTAATTTCTGTTACCACATTTTCACCCATTTTTTACACATTTTTATTGAAGATTGTCTATGGTTTGAACGTTTAATGCTTATCTTTATGGTTTGGACCGGCGCTCGACATCTTCCATCTTTTGTCAATGTTTCACTTCTGTTTGCATTCGCTCTGTTATTTCTGTCATTCAAACGATTTTTTCTTTGCTTTCACTGACGGACATTGACACTTTACGTGCGAGATTGGTGGGAGGATTTTTTATTGCATTCAGGAGATTTGACACACTTTAGTCAATTGAATTTGTTTGTCGGCTCTTACTGGCGGGTGGTTAACATCAAAAGATTAAAACAGTCAATGCTTTTTTCTTTACTTAGTATTTTATATATTTATTGAAGCGCCAAAAAGGCTCAGCAGACTATTTTCATAACATGAGTAATTTCAAATATTTGCTTCAAATTTCATTTAATTACAATTCGTATTTGGCCCGACACCTTAGACTAAAGGCCATTTTCTCAATGTCTGATGAGCAGCCATTTATCTCAAAGTTCTGGTTAACTTAACCAAGATTTCTTTTTGCGGCAAAGAACTTTTTTTAACAGCAACTTCACTGGCAGTTTTCAAAACGCGATGAAGTAAATATTGAATATATATTTTATTAAGTTAAATAGTTAAACTAAATATTAATAGAATCCACGAATTCTCACAACTTCTCGTGTCTTAAATGCTTAACTGCTGCTTTTGCGCAACTAAAAATTGGGTATATAATACCATTTTTGAGTAATATTTCTAAAATTATATACATTTAAAAGTTCAGTATTGTGTTCTTTATGATTTCTGCGCACTCGCGTGTCTGTTCCTCAGTGATTACCAGTGGAGGTGCGAAACGAATGATGTCGCCATGTGTAGGCTTGGCAAGTAGACCGTTATCACGCAATTTCAGGCATATGTCCCAAGCATCGTATTCTGATAAATAATAAGTAATAATTATTTGTGTTAGAGTAAGAAATTAAAATATTTTAAAATACTCACTTTTATTGACAACTATAGCATTGAGCAGACCTTTGCCGCGGACGATGCTCACAACATCTTTCGGCAAAGCGCTGAGTTCGCTACGTAGTAAACATCCCATTTTTTCAGCGTTCTCCGCCAGACGTTCCTCCAACAGCACTTCTAATGCGCTAAGCGCTACTTTACAACCCAAAGGATTGCCCCCATACGTAGAGCCATGGCGACCCGGTCGTATGCACTCCATAACTGGATCGTCAGCCAAAACAGCGGAGACGGGATATAGACCACCAGAAAGTGCTTTACCCAAAATCAAGATATCGGGCTTAACTTCTTCATAATCGACGGCTAGCATTCGTCCAGTACGCGCCAGACCGGTTTGCACTTCATCCGCGATCCACAGTACATTGTATTTTGTGCAAAGCTGTCGAACTTTCTTTAAATACCCAACATCGGGTACCACTACACCGGCTTCACCTTGAATTGGCTCAACCATGAATGCACAAACATTTGGATCTTGTAGAGCTTTCTGAAAAGTTACTAACTTTAAATATTCGTAACTATTATATAAACGAGAAATATTATAAGCCACCTCTAAAGATTCTGTGTTGTTATATTTGACGATTTCGAAACCAGGCATATAAGGACCAAAATTTTCATAACTCAGAGGATCAGTTGATGCTGAAATCGCAGATAAAGTGCGTCCCCAGAAATTATTCTCGGCAAATAGAATCTAAAAGTTTAATATATACTATAAGTTCTTGTGATATTTAATTATGCGTTACTAAAAAAACCTTAGCTTGGTTGTCTGGCACTTGTTTCTTCATGTATGCCCAAGCACGTGCGATTTTACAAGCTGTTTCTCCACCTTCCACGCCCGTGTTCATTGGCAAAACTTTGTCATAATTAAAGAGTCTTGTTATATATTCTTCATACTCGCCAAGAACATCGGAATAAAAGGCTCTGAAAATAGATAAAAAATTATGATAGCAATTAATACAAATATTTAATTTTGTTGGATCTTATACAAATTTCCAAAGTCTTTAGATAAAAGAGAATGTAAGGAAAGTATATGAAACATTTTGAGGTACAAAATATTTGAAAAGTTTCTACCAGGGTTCTCGGTGGTTACGTATACAACAGAGTTATTGAACAGATAACATTATTCCAGAATCATAGGGATACGTATAAGAGTCAAAGCCAAAATATTTGATCAGAGAGTGCCGCAAGCAAAATCTCTTTCTTCTTGTTGTAATGTAATCTTAACTAACATACCGACAGAGTTTCATTTATTTCATTACATTTTTCTGAAGTTGTTGTTCTCAAAGTCAAGCTATCTTTTCTATTTTCAAATATATCCAGCCATTTAAGTTCTGGTTAAAAATATTTAAAAAAAATATATTAAAGGTCTTTACAGAAAGAAGTAGTCTTGATTAAGTAACCAAAACTTAACTGGCAGATGGCTAAGCAGACAGTGAGAAGACGGGTCTAAATTAGTTAAGGTTATTGACATCATATATTTGCACACACGATGGGTGTTGCGTTTACGGAATATCGATTCAAAGGGCAATCTAGTACTGATCAAACGCACAAGAACAAGTTTCTATGACGATTTGAGAGAAATGTATGGTAGATACATCAATCCAAATACAATCTGTCCAAAGCAGATTTATTTATTATTTGTATCTAAAAACATCGTTGTTTTTTTTTAATGTGTATTTCGATGCATAGTGACAACTCCATATTGCTAGCAGTAGATTGTCATTTTGGTGGTTTTTCAGATCACTTTTCATTTCTACAAAAAATTTGGAGCGGATATATATACAATATGGTCCCAGTGCCTGGTGAGTTCATATTGTATATATTGCGTAAATTGCAATTTAACAAAATGAGATTAAAAATAGAAACACGATATAAGAACACTAGCTTCGGCCCGCGATGTTAATCGCGGTTTATTAGGGAAAATAAATTGAAAATTAACAGTAAAAATAATGACTATTCAAACTTTTAAGCAAAATAATTTAAATTTGAGCATCGGAAAGATCAATTTACAAAATTGATGTCTGACAGAACGGGAGAGTTGATTATGCGTATGTAATTGTTTTTTGTCTCTGGTCGAAGAGAGGTAGAAATTATTTGACTGCAGTAGATTCCAGTGAACAATATTGCGGGATTTATTGTTTTCTAAAGAAACCCACGTACGATTGTCCGTGGGAGAAGCAAGTGGTGCACAGGTGAGTGGTGGTTACTTTTAGAGTTTGTCATTGACTTTTATTTATTGTGGTAAACAAAGCCACTTTTATAGGAAATTGCAGTCATTTGAACTGGAACGATAACTTTGTGAGCAATATAGGTATTCTGGTATTAATACTGTCTCTTTTTGGAGCATCCATTATTGCTGGTGGACTGAACGATGTGCCGTCTCACTTCTACAAAATCTCTTGCCGTAGCACAATCTGGGGCGTCCAGGTTATGCATCAGTATGACAGGCACACCAACTTTGAATTTCAACTTTTGGGGGGGAAACGCCGGCCATTGTTATTTTGCTGCCCTCTCACAAACGTTCATGTAGTAGGATTCACAACGCCATTTTCCGTTCACTGTCGTGCTGCTGCAGTCTGTCGCTAGCATTGTGTTCCACACATAACGCGTACTTCGAAAGAGTCAGTCATTTTATGGTCATCAGACCTAAAATACCATCTAACATATTTTATAATAAATCTAATTTTAAATAAACCTAATTAAATAATTTAAAAAGAAACCGACTTTGATTTAATTCAAACCCACATTTGGGGGCTCAGCCGTGAAAATTTAAGCCATACGGAGAAATTTTGCTGTAATTTTTCAATATCAGCCGGCGTATATTGAAAACATTTGTGTTGTACCAATAACGCGTTTTCTTACGTAAAAAGTGATTCAGTGGCATCAACGGACAGATCACAGTACAAGAAACAACAAGTGTTCTGTGGCGCAACTGTACAAGATACATTTTTTTTCTTTTCGCGAATTTTCTATGAGTAGCAACATCAAGCAGTATAAGTGCGAATGTGAACGTAACACTTGTAGTAGATTGCCGCAGTCGAAACATACCAGCAGAGCAGTTTACGTCAGCCACAACAGCAGCGACAGCATAGCCGTTGTAATTTGAAATTTTGCTGAAAGAAGAGGAATAGACGCTGAAGAAAGAGTCTTAAGGCAGAAAAGAAGCTGAAGAAGGCGAATTAAGAGAGAAAACTATTCGAAGACGAGGAGAAGTTGAAGAAGGAGAAGTAAGATAGAAAATCAAACGAAGAAGAATAAGTTAAAGACGGAAAATCTAATAAGAAGAAGTTGAGGTAAAGTAACTTAAATTATAAAGTGAATGATCTAGTAGCTATAAAACGTACTCAATTTGGACCAAATCTGAAATTGAAAACTAAATACTTTGGACCGTACAAAATCATCGAAAAGTTGTCACAGGGACGTTATAAAGTACAAAATCTTGATGAAGTTGAAGGACCTAGTGACCGAGTACATCAAACCATGGGGTACAGAATTCGGGTCGAATCCTGAGTCAGGAGGGCCGAATGTAGAACCTACAGATGAACGCAAGACAACTAGAAGTGGACGTAACTTTTAACAACTATTAAATGCGACATTGCAAACTTGACGAACAGAATGACGAAAAGACGAAGATGAGAAAAAAAAGCGGACGGTAACGCGTACTGCGAAATAGTCAGTCATTTTATGGTCATCAAACCTAAAAGACCATCTAACATATTTTATAATAAGTCTAATTTTAAATAAACCTAATTAAATAATTTTAAAATAAACCGACTTTGATTTAATTGAAACCTACATTTATATCACGGGGTATACGTCTGGTCCCTCACCTTATGAACTGTTAATTTTCAAAATCGGTGATTCAGAAGTCAGATAATGAGCAAAAAACATTTTTTTGAACTTAACCTAAATGGTTGTATAAAATTAAATTTTTGCAAAGCCTTGGAAAAGAATATTGGGATTTATAAAAAACATTCATTTATATAGATGTACTTTGAAATATATTATTTTTATTAACTTAAAGTACTGAATACCACAACTTTTAGATTTTTTAATAAAAACTGTTAAACTTCAAGTGTCTTTAATGATATTCTTTACATTCTTCCATGAGTATATTTCGAAACATATTCAAATAAACAAATTATATTTAATTTGCAATTTTAATGTTTTCAAACCAATTTATTATTACTCCGGTAAAAGTGGTACTTTCGATGCATCGCATTACATCGATGTCAAGTTTCGATGTTTTATATCAATATTACGGCATTATGGATCTATCAGACGACGAAATAAAAGTAAGACCATATTTTTAGTAAAAATGGGAATGTTTATCCGAGTTATTGTAAGTTAATATTCACGTTATCCTCAAGAAAGAGTGATAGTATTTTTTTTAACTTCAAGCGTCTAAAGCTAATATCTAAAAAAAAATCTTCTTTATAAATATTGAATATTTTAATTTGAACTGGGCCGAACTGCTATTTCCTTTAAAATTACTAAAAAAGGTATGTTTATTCTTACTGATAATATTGATAAGCAGAAATGTACTTCCGAATAATTCTAACATATAACTGAATCTAATTCATCATCAATTTAATCAATTTATAAACAAACACATCATGATTACTACAAGCATAGTCGTACATCACGTGGCTAAATTGAATAGAAACAAGTAAGGAAGGGCTAAGTTCGGGTGTCACCGAACATTTTATACTCTCGCATGATAAAGTGATAATCGAGATTTCAGGCGTGGTTGTGAACCGATTTCACCCATATTTGGTACATGTCATCAGGGTGTTAAGAAAATATTATATACCGAATTTCATTGAAATCGGTAGAGTGCTTCCTGAGATATGGTTTTTGGTCCATAAGTGGGCGAAGCCACGCCCATTTTCAATTCTTAAAAAAAGCCTGGATGCAGCTTCCTTCTGACATTTCTTTGTTTTTTGTTAGTCGGTTAACGCACTTTTAGTGATTTTCAACAAAACCTTTGTATGGGAGGTGGGCGTGGTTATTATCCGATTTCTCCCATTTTTGAACTGTATATAGAAATGCCTAAGAGAAACGACTCTATACAGTTTGGTTGACATAGCTATAGTAGTTTTCGAGATATCTACAAAAAAGTTAGTAGGGGGCGGTGCCACGCCCACTTTTCCAAAAAAAATTCCGCCCAAATATGCCCCTCCCTAATGCGATCTTTTGTGCCAAATTTCACTTTAATATCTTTATGTATGGCTTAGTTATGACACTTTATAGGTTTTCGGGTTCCGCCATTTTGTGGGCGTGGCAGCGGGCTGATTTTGCCCATCTTCGAACTTAACCTTCTTATGGAGTCAAGAAATACGTGTACCAAGTTTCATCATGATATCGCAATATCAAAATTGCAAATTAAATTTCAAAGATTGATTATAGTGTGTTGTTTGGACTGGCAAACTTATACAACTCAGTTAGTAAGTATACACATTTTATTCTTTCCTTTCTTAAATTACTCAAACACTTTAGTGTTCATGTTTTGAAATATTAGAATTCTGCAATTAATAGTACCAAGGAAAGGCAGTGGTCAATATAGTGCTTGATATTCATTACGTCGAATTGAGTGACAATCAAATTGAATCAAATGACGTTTGTTATTTAATTTCTATAGAAAATGTTGCCTATAGCTAGGCCTATATAATATTGTACATAAGTATATGCTTCTAGGTGCGATATTTTCATTTTTTTGACGCGCCGTTTTTGCATTGCGTGGTCTCGTTTATTTTGTAAGCTTGCATTTATATTTTTCAGTTGTAAGCTTTGAGATATCGTTCATTCACTCCACCACTCTCCGAAAAAGCGTTCAAAAACAGTAAAGTATGCGTTCGTTGTAGAACTATATATAGTACTATATGTATATAACTTATACACTGACCGACATATTCGGCATAAGGTTTGTTAGAAAAACGAAAATCATTATATGTACATATGTACATATTTATGTATTAAATGGGAGTTGGTATAGTATCGACACGATTTTATCGATTAACTATTATCATGCAACATATTAAAAAAATTTTGCCTGGGTTTCATTAAGGTACCTCAGATAACTCATGCATTAGTCGTTATATACAGTATAGAGTCACCCAGAAATTCGAAAATCTTTATATCAAGTATAGGAGAGCTCAGGGAAGTGTTGATCCGATTCAATATAGTTTTGATACACAGAGCTACTATTATAAGGAAAGAATTCTCTCTGAATTTCAATTGTATATCCCATACATTGATCGTTATTTTCGGTCAAAAATCAACTACATATATCGGTAACTAGAGGCTTGAATACAGTGGCGGATCCAGGGGGGGGGGGCTTTGGTGATAAAACACCCCTTAAACTCAGAGAAAAATATATGTTTGTTGATATGGGTTTGGAATGAAGTTATTGATCAAAAAAATCACATCAAATTATAAGCAATTATAATAAGTTACAAGATTTTTGTAGTTATTCATATAATACGAACTTTCTCTACATTTGTCAAAGCAGTATCGCTGAATCTCAGTAATTAATAAAGGATTACACGGGATCTCATTCCATGTTATATTTTCCTTGGTTTTTGAAAGAATTCTTCTAGTATTTCATCAACTGACAGATCAATATCCCTATGAATATTCATTGATGCTAGACCATTAAGCCTATCTTAACCTGTCGTATTTCGTAAATAGGTTTTAATTCTCTTTAAACTAGAAAAACTTCTTTCCGGTGATACTATTGAAACAATCAATAACGCCAATATGCATAAAATCTTGAAAACATTCCCAAAAGACGTTTTGTTCACTGCTTCTAAAGCTTTGAGAGCATTCCGAAAATGCTTGCCTGAAGTTCGCTGTTTCCACATTTTCACCTCCGCAAGAAAGTTTTGTTCTGAACAGTTGATCACCCTTTCATATTAAAAATATTTCTCCAGCTTTTTTAGCGTCAAATTCGTATTTTGGGAAAAATACACAAAAATTGTCTAACACTGATCTGTGATCAAAAAAGCAGCTTTTCAAATGAGCAATGTAAGTATCAAGAAAGGGAATATAAAAAGCAATGCGATAGTATGCCTTAGCGTCGTTCGTTTTCAATTGAAGCAATTCATTTGGTGACTACTGTAGCGTGATACCTTTATTTCTGTACCTAGTTCGGTGCATATTTCTTCAACGTTATTAAAAATAAAAAATAAAAAAATGTTTCGGCATTTTGTCGCGTTTCTTCGAACTCTTTTAAAGCGTCGTCCACTAATCTAATGGCTTCTGTGAGATCTTCATCAGGCGATTGTAATTGCCGGCTGAGAGGTAGAACGACTGCATGTACGGATTGCATTATGAAGCAGGAAATTTGGAATTCTGCAGCAGAAATCGCAGCGACCAGCTGAGAGGCCGTAGTTGAAGTCCTTCAAAATTACGATAGATCGCAAAATTTTTCGCAATTCAACTATCCTTACACCCATTTTTGTGCACAAGACAAAACGCGTCCTATAATGAATTTTCGCGAGGGAACTGCTATATTAAAAATGCGTTGAGTAATAAAACTTTTCGTAAACCACCCTCAAAAAATTTTTTTGGATCCGCCACTGCTTGAACAGTTTTGGTTGGATTCGGAAAATTTTTGGTCATAAGGTGGCATACTTTAACACTTTGAGGACGGCGTGAGTCATCGGTGGGTCACTCATTTAGGTGTCATCTGGCGGTGTAACCCACCGGTGGGAGGTCGTTGATTCAGAACTATTTTTTTCAACAAAATAAAAAATAATTTGGTATCAAAACAAGTTTTTAAATTTATTTTTAATACTTATAAGTTTTTTTTAAAACATTTTAAACAAAATGGTGGTTTATTTTCACAAAATTGCGCCGTCCTCAATGTGGAATTATTACTATTATTGATATGGGAAAGTAGGCGTGGTTGTAGTCCGATTTCGCTCATTTTTGCATTGTAACATAGAAATATTATAAGAATATCATGTCTTAAATTTAGTAAAAATCGGTATGTCAATTCACGAGATATGTGATTTCACCAAAATATGGGCGATGCCAAGCGCATCGTCTAATTTTTACCCCGGCTCCCATAAAATTGTATTATACCATCTATATCGCGCTTTTTAACATTACCGTTATATGAGGAGTAGACGGGGCTATAATCCTATCATGTCGATAGACGTTTTCATATAGATATTGGCAAAATTTAGTTATTGTTGATTTAGTGGTTTGACAATCTGGCCGACAGGGGTAACTCTCGAAAATTCTACGCAAAGATGCGATGACTAACATAACGTTTCAAGACTGGACTTTCTACTGTTGTAGAACCCCCAGAGTCGATCTAGTGACTGATGCGCAGAGCATACTAAAATTATAAAGGGAACACTCTCCAGCCCGCTGAATGGCAGTGAAAGTATAATGCTAGGAGAAGGCGAACCCGGTTCCCTGATCGATGACGATGGAGCAGACGTTCCATTGCCCGACCAGGAAGAAGTTCGAATAGCAATTACCGTTTGAAGAACAAGAAAGCGGTGGTGGCCGATGGATAGCCATCCAAGTTATTCGAACACAGCAGCGAAGAACTGATAAGAGGCATGTATCAACTTCTTTGTAGAATATGGTCGGATGAAAGCATGCTCAGCGATTGGAATTTGAGTGTGCTCTGCCCAATCCACAAAAAGGGAGACCCCACAATCTGCGCCAACTACCGTGGCGTTAATTACTGCGTAAATTCTTTTGAGCATGGACTCGACTACCTTCGTGCAGAGACCCCCGCTAATATTTTTCCAGGAATTTTGAGCCTTCTGCCATGAATCGTTAAGATTTCGACACTCACCTGGCGTATCAGAAATCGTATGCTTGATCTTAACTAACTCTTGTTAGATTGTCTGACACTTCTAGCCATGTGAAATGGCATCTATTTGTCTGGCAACCCTGACCCTATTACCAACTGACACCTTATAGTAGTATAGTACTTAATAAACTTACATTTTATATTCAAAAGTTTAGTTTAACAAAGAGAGAACAAAATTTATTATATTTGGAATTTAATCTGACCAAATAGTTGACATACTGTAATTTTATGTCTACTAATAACGGTATACGGACGATGAAAAAGCGAAGTTTTTAAGTCACTATAATTTTCCTTAGTATAATCACCAGAATGTGTACAACAAACTTAACTTTAACGTGTCCAAAATTATAGTCTCAGTTGTCACTTCTGACAGCAATAAACAAATATTTACTCACCTGGAAGTTAGTGCTAGCTTCTTGGCTTGCTCAGTCAGAGTATTTACAATTTTTGGATGACAATGACCTTGATTGACAGCTGAATAGGCACTTAAAAAGTCGAAATAACGTTTACCCTCCACATCCCAGACAAAAATACCCTCGCCACGTGTCAACGCCACCGGTAGTGGGTGATAATTGTGTGCGCCGTACTTATTTTCTCGGTCGAACACTTGTTGTGATGTCACTTTTTGAGCGGTTTGTTGGAGCTTTTGTTGTTGAGCGCTCATATAGCGCACTCCCACGTTCATGGTTAATTTTGAGAACATATTGAATTCAAATAAAAGTTCTGTAAAATTAAAAAAAGTATTTATATCGTATTTGACACTAATTACTTCGGTTTTTAAAAACAACTCTTGCATTTGATGAAAGTTGTAAATGAAATATTTTTTATCCACTTTTAATAAAAGAAGAAAGTACCTTAAATTTCTTAAGTATCTGCGTATAATTTTATTTTGTTTTAGATTTCGTTGTAGTTTTCAGTTTCCCGATTATCGTACTTTGCGCCAGCGCCTCCACCATGAAACTGATCAGCATTCGAACGATCGCACAACTCTCCACTGGACTGCGCTTTTTGCCTCAATTTGCGCTCTCTTATGGGTGGTTCTATTGTTTGTGTCTGTCATTTATGATCTTTGTTTATTTCGAATGCTTTATGGCAACTGATAATACAAATTGTTTGACATTGGCACATTGCCGGGCCTCTTTTTTCTTACCTCCTACCGCCCAAATATCACAACCTTTTGGATTTGTTGTTATTCAGTCACTTTCTTATAGCCAATATATAATGTATCATATAACTTCTGATTCATTTCGCTTCAGACATAAGATTTAACAACAAATTGGATGTAGCTTTAATATGAGTACGTTCACATAACAAGTTTTCGACGCGAAGCCAAGTAAAGCAAATTGTTTAAAGAAAAGACTGCAAGCGAAGCGTTCATTGTGCTTTTGTTTTCTGCTCTTCGTTCTTTCAGTATGAAATCTCATGCAAAGCAAGCAAAGTTGTATGTGAATGGGACTTTATTCTCTTTCCGTTGCTATGTGGCATATGTTTTTTTTAAATACAATTCGTTTATCTGTAAGCAAAAATGTATTTAATAACAACAATTGCGCTAAAATTAGAAAGTCCAAGACCCATTGAGATTCTAATTTATGCGCCTTAGTTGTTGCAAATTTTTGTTATCAATTAAAGCTGTTGATTTTGAAATCAACTTGAGAAAACTTTCCATTGACCGAACGAAAATCATCAATTGTGTTTATATGTACATATATACAATTAAATATGTAAATAGAATCCGATGAGTGAATGTTATCACAAGTTAAAGCGTACAACACTACATGTTGTTATTAAAAACAGTTTAGTTTCTTTCATAAATACATATACATATAATTTTTAAGTTTTGAGTGATACTTATACAATTAAGCAGTATTTATTTAATCTGAAAGTTTTTAATCTATCACATTTACTTTTTTTCACCTAACCGTTATTTGTGGGTTTACCTAAACTTAATCGAGATAGATATAGAGTTGTATACTGTGCATCAATTAAATGTTTGCAATGAACATAAAAATTAAGTTTTAGGCTTAGTTTTTAAAAAAGGGATAAATGTTTTCAGTTTTATTATTTTAATGAATAAACAATAACAGTGCAGATGAAAACTCTATGACAAACTGCACACACAATTCGAAACGATATTTTTTATACTCTTTGCTACAGAGTATTATAGTTTTGTTCACCTAACGGCTGTACGTATCACCTACAACTAAACGAGATAGATATACGGTTATATTCTTATATATATATATATATGTATATATAGGACGATTCCAAAAAGTAACTTTTTTCCATATACATTTTTTTTAAATTTTTGATTGCTTTGTTTTTCAATATTTTGATTTGTAAATTATTTGAATCGTTAAATTTCGGTCGCATGCTTTTTTATTCCGGCTATTCAAATGAAAATTATTTAGTGAAAACTTATGTGTGTTTCACACAAAGAGATCAATTGCAGATTTAAATTTGTTACTGTTCTGTCTGTCATTTGTTACGAAGCCACGTAGCGTTCTTTTTTCCATCAACGTATAGCAGCCCAAGGCAAGAAGTACTCCCAGGATGCGATAACATACGTGCGGAATTATGCATCGTGGACAATCAGCAAGCGATCGCCATGATGTCACAGCACGACTTTTCAAACAACAGTTACGATGTTTGATGGACTTTAACCTGAGAGAATGAATATGTGGTTAGATGCTAGATGTACTCTGTTCTTCTTTGGATGGTGGACGGTGGTTCCACGAGATCGAATTGATGAACTCATTTCTGCGGAAACTCATTCTGCAACACAATACCACAATCAGACTTCGGGTTGTATGTCTGAAAATATATGCACGAAATACTATCCAAGTGTTTTTCTTTCGAAAACACAAACTGGGAAATGATGGATATCCACTCCATCGGCGTCGCTCACCTGATAACAATGGCAGAACATTCAGCATTCAATTTAGTAGAGTGAATATCGAAGTTGACAACATATGGATCGTACTATATTAACCATTATTTTGTCTAATTTATATTGAAAGCTCATATCCATATTAAGTATTGCAGTTGGATGAAATCGATAAAATACGTTTGTAAGTACGTCACCAAAAGAAACATTGGTCTTGAACGATACGATCGATACGTGAACTACAATAAAGCGCTTTGTAGGATATTTAATTTTGCAATTCATAAACGTTTTCCGACTGTTGTGCATCTCGCGGTTTATTTGGAGTATGGCCACAGAGTGTATTTCAACCCAGAGAATGCAGTGCAGCCAGTGGAAAAAAAATAACATTTACGAGTTTTTTCTCAACTTTCGTCAGTGATCCATTTGCGAGAACATTGCTCTATTCGGAAATTCCTTGATATTATACATGAAACGCATCGTCGAAGAAATAGTTGTGCAAAATGCAAGGCTAACCAGTAGATGGACATCCAGGTGTGTTATCCACGACTGTTTCTACCTTCGGTACAACTTCATTTGAGTCATTGCGTACTGTGAATCGTACGTTGTGTACAAGTTTTGTAGAAGTAAGCCAGCAATTACAATTGCTGGAACATATCAATCACTGGAATGAAAATGAAGTTTGCTTACTTTTCGCGATAATCATTTCGACATATCAGCTTTCAAATCCACTTGAATTATGGGATGCGAACAAAATTGAGATTGCCGAAGACATTTTACATCGTCTTCGCTCAAAATTGGAACGAACGGTTGATACTTCCGGTGGTTTGATATCAATTCCATCCGCCGTTTATCAATTCACGAAAAATGAACTCATCACGAATGTTCGGACATTGACCACATTATCGTAACTACCGATTCCTTAAGTGCACGTGCAATGTTAGCTGCCAAAAATACCGATGTTGTTGASTTAAACTGGAAGATTCAAAGTCAAATTCCCGGAGACTTGCGCTCATACAAATCGATCGATCGTCTTGATAATGAAGACGACGTCATGAATTATCCAGTGGAATTTCTAAATTCTTTGAAGATGCTTGGTATGCTACCGCATCATTTGCGTCTCAAAGTTGGATCTATCGTTATTATGTTTCGCAATCTGCATGCGCCGAAACTGTGTAATTTAACCCGACTGATTTGTGACTCAGCTATCGAATACAATGGGACAGAATACCTGATTTTTCAAATTCTTTTGAGTTCTAACCGTTTTCGTATTCCGTTTCCAGTCAAAATTGAATTTGAGATGACAATCAACAGGGCACAAGGATAGTCGCATAGTGTGTGGCATAAATTTGGAAATGCTATGTTTTCCACACGGCCAGATACGTGGCGTTCTCAAGAAATGGAAAACCATCTTTTCTGTACACCGGAACAGAAACCAAAAAATTTTGATTTACAAGATTTAAACAAAAATTATAAATTTAACTTTCTTTTCATTTCAAAACACATAATTTCACGCAGGACAACGGCTGCGGGGTCAGCTAGTACATATATACAAATGATCAGGATGACGAGAAAAGTTGAAATTCGGTTGACTGACTGTCTGTACGTCCGTCCGTCTTAAGTACTAAATTCAAAAATAAAACTCGTATTTGGCACAGGGGATCGCAATAGTAAGGGGCACCTATGTAAAAAAAAATTTGAAAAAGTGGGCGTGTCCACGTCCTCTAATATGTTTAATGTGCGTATCTCCTAAATCACTTAAGCTACATCAACCAAACTCCAGCACGAATATTAAATAAATTTCTACCGATTGTGTGAAAATGTATGAAAACCCCGTTCACTCTCCATATAACGGTGCTGCTCAAAACTACTTAAAGCGCGATAAATGAATAACTAAATGCGCCAGAAACGTAAAAATTTGCCGGCGGACCATGGTAAAAATTGTACTATGGGCGTGGCACCGTCCACTTTGTGGTGATTTCGACAAATTTTTTAAAGTAACGTAATTTTTATATTCTTTTATCACTTGTGAAAATAAGTGAAATCGGAATATAAACAGAAAGTAGGCGTTTCCATATAGCACAATTTTAAATTCCACTTGATTCCTTTACTTTCCAGTACACAATGCAAGATGCAATTAATATAATGTGTAATATTTATAACTGAAATTAAGGGACAAGTCTGTATGTCCAAAATGGGTTAAATCGAACCAATACTTGACTTAGCTTCCATATACTTAATATAAAGATTTTCGAACTTCCGGGTGACTTTGTACTGCATATATCGCTCAATATGTGAGCTATTTCAATGAAAGAAAGAGAGTGTGTTTTGTTCATAAGAGTGTATCTTTGTGCCTAAAATAGATAAATTTGAGCGAAAACTTGGCCAAGCCCCTAATAGCTAATCTCAGGATTTTCGAACATCCGGCAGACTTTACTCTATATGATTGGTTTTACACCTTAAAGTATATCCCTTCATTCTATATCCATTTTTTTCTATATGCCAAATAGTGTATGGTTGGCAGCTGTTTGCTTACAGCAGGAAGAGTTTATGTTTTCAATTCAATGACGGCTCCAGAAGTTTCTAAAATGTTTGTAGAGGTGGTTGGGCAGTCTTCTTTATCACGAACACATGTATTTGAAACGCACAAAGCATTGGGTAGAAACTTGACTTATGCGAGCAGCAAACTGTTAACCAATCTAGCGAAAAGCTTATAATGAAAGCTTTCCAAATTTTTCTTTTTCTTCTCCTACTTTGTTGGGGTAGACAGAGCGTACTTGGTTATAGCCGAGTTTACAACAGCGCGCCGGTCGTTCTTCCTATTCGCTCTTTGGCGTCAATTGAATGTTCCAAGTGTAGGTCTTCCTCTTTTTCGGACGGAGAGAGGACTTTGTTACTCAGTGCGAAGTAGCACCTGTTGGCAAGAGTTATTCTGCGTTGGATTTCGATTCTGACATTGTTTTTGGTGTTAATTCTGGTTCCAAGATAGTCGAAATTGTCTTAGCGAAGTCACTAATGCGACGACTGTTTCTTTGATGAAGGGTGACATTTCGTTTTACCCTCGTTCACTCCCAAACCCATTTGCTGTCATCAGCGCACGGCAGAAGTTGTATACTCTTGTAGAAGATTATACCTTATGTATTCAGCTATGCAGCTATAATTATTTCTACCAGGAGTAGATTGAGGAAGTCGCACGCTAGGGTGTCACATTGTATGAAACTTAGTTTGGTAACAAAAGGCTCGGAGAAGAACTGCCCGATTCTGTCGGAGCTTTTTGTATTGTTCAACATCAGTTTTCACAGAAGTATTGGTTTTTCAGGTATAATAAATTTAGACAGCGGGATTAAGGCAGCACCTGTTCGTGCTGTCTGAAGCAGTCTTAATATCAACGAAGAAATGGTGTGTGGCGGTCCTCTTTTCAGGGACCTTTTTCAAGATTTAGCTCATGGTGAATATCTGGTCAGTTGTTCATTTTCCAGACCTAAAGTCACACTGATAAGGTACAATCAGTTTGTTAACGGTGTTATTTAATCTTTCATACAATATATGCGATGTTGATTTTAGATTTTACCACTTGGTATAATATTCTTTTATTGTTTGGCGTTGTTCGAATTTCTCCATTTTTTCCACTGTGTGTTATCATATTAAATTTTTATACTTTCGCAAAGTCCTATAACTAAGCTTCAAATTAAGATAAGAATATGTATTAGTACGCCCACTCCTCAGATAACGGTTGTGTTGAAAATTACTATAATTCATTAAATTAATACGCCAGAAGCATTATATTTCACACATGAAGTGGAGCGTAAGAGCTGCATATGCATATACAGTGTGAAAATTTTAGGTGAATTTGAATATCTCAGGAAGTAATCATGTACCAATGAGGACATCGGAACAAAAATTTGAACAAATAGTTTTATCAAGGTAAGGAAAATTTTTTTTTTTGGTATAAGTAGGGCTAAGCATCAAAAGCCAAAGTGTGGAACTCATATTCACTAAACCTAACCTACTCCCACCCTAGGAATTCAACCACTAATTTCGGTAAATCTTAAAAATAGAGATCTGAGAAATAGTTCACAATTTTTCCAAATTTTTCATTGCAGGATTCCTCAAATATTTTATCGTCACTTTGAAGTATTTTGTGTTAACTACCCTCAAAAAAATGATTAGAAAAATCATTGCAATTCCTCCAGTTTCATAACAAAACAATACACAAAACAAAGTATTTATTTCACTTTTCCCATCCATATTCGAATAAATAAACAACTTTTTTTTTTTAATTTATAATTTATTTTAATGTGTTAGTTACTTTTTTAATTTTTTTTAGTACTATTCATTAATTTAAATTGTAATTACACTTTCTCTTTAAATACACTCTCGGCTTAAAAACTAAGTACATATGTCGTCTGCATTAACCTAATGTACACAGATATATATTTAACAACTATAGCACACAATTATTTAAATATTAGATTATTAGTGAAAAACAATAAATTAATCGTATTTTTTCTAAGTAATTGTATGAAATAAAATTATATTTAATATTTATTCAACTAAAATGAGGCTAATTTTTATAACGATAAAATTTATGAAATTCATAATTAATACTTAATACTAAGAAAAATTATAATATCGAAATTATAAGTATTCTGATCAGCTGTGTATTTGTATATACTATTTGAATTTGTATGTATATATTTGTTAGGGATGTTCGTATATTTTACAATGTAATTGTTTTAAAACGAGTGCCAAAAAATGTATAACTGTATACTAAATTTCCTGAAGGAACATTTGTTATTATTATTTAATCTCTTCAAAATAAGTGTGGTTTACGATAAATAAATTATTTAAATAAAAATTTACGAAAAGAAGAAACTTAGTATCTTGAAAACAATGAAAACAAAAAAATGTTAACTTCGACTGTACAAAAGCTATAATCCTCTCTGTAAAATATTGTTTTTAAAACATAAAAGATCATAAAAATAGATATCTTGATTTTGATCGGACAGTTTGCATGGTAGTAGTAGTTTGAACTGAACAATATATTCTGCGTTTATAGCACTGCCTTGGACTAAGAGCTAAGCTAAATTTCGTGAAGAAATCTTGTCAACTACAAAAGTTTTCCATACAATGTCTTGGTCTGTTTTACGCTACATTCCATAGTAGTCCGATGTCATTGGTTCGGACAAATGAGAAATTTCTTGCAAAGAAAAGGGCATTTACTCCATTTTAAATCGATATCTGAAAGATTGAGGGAGTACTTCGCGTGTATAGGGACAGATGGATGAATAGACGAATTTTTAAACCTGCTAATGGTCACTAACTAGCCAAAAAATGCGAAATATTCTTCACTGTTATATGTTCCCTCCTATAAAATTTACCTCCTCTGTGACTTCGAATCGCTAAGTCAGAATAACCGAAAGTTGTAGAAAACTTATAGATACTGCACTGATTCATTAAACGATGCTTTCGTTTTGGCCTTTAGTTCGAAATTTAAACAGGATAAAATTAAAGAGGTATTTTTAAAGGATTTAATAAGGAACTAATGGCCTATGCTTCTTTTATTTGGTACTAGCAGCCGCCACGGCTTCACACGGGAATTAAACAATCACTTCAAAGTTATAATTTTGTAAACACTCTCCCACACATACTTTCTCGTTTTTGCGTGGCGTCATTAAAAATTGGTTAAATGATGTAATGATTTACTATATGTATTACTTATTGAATCAGAGCTTCCCTGTAAACGACATTTAATGTTAATTTATTTTAAGGCAGCAATATAAATTGATTTCTCGGACCTCCGGCCTGCGATAGACCAACATACTGTTGGTCATGAGTAAAACATTAATTTTTAATCCCTACTAATTCGAAAGTCTGGCCTTGGGAATCGTTTATAATTAGAGCGAAATATGTTTTCACCGGAAATTGAAGCCGTTTAAATGGGATTGAAAGATCACTTGGGATCATCGGAATTCTCGCTATACGAGCTAGTTGACCAGCTGCTGCGCCGGTGATAATGGTTGCTACGATTAAATTGTTCTTCAACTCCTTAATAAGCAGACTCGTTCCGTTTTTTTTTATTTCTTAGGGACCTTTTTGAATATTAGATCGTTTATATCGTTGACACTATCATTCCTGGGTGACACTATTGCCTTAGAACACAACCAATGAAATTCCTTCTCATGCAAATTCTGGAGATCAGGGTATACTAATAATATACACTATATACATTAAAACTCCTAAACTATGGACTATTTGGCCTAGAGAAAAATCATCCAGAAAAATATTACAATTACTGTTAAAATTGGAGTAGTAAAAATTACTTCCCCAAGTTTAAGCAGTTGCTGTGGAAAATCACCATCAGTGATTCCAAGCTCTTATATTCGTTCGTAATTTTATATTTTCAATCGAAGTCCATAAGGGCGAAGATATTAAGCATGCTTTGATGATATCTTCTCGGATACCTCCGTTAATCACAGGAAGAGTCTGTCGGAAATCTTCGGCAAATACAAAAGTTATCCCTCCCATGAAATAAAAGGAGTTTCTAAGATCTTTTAATGTTCTGTCTATGGCCCTTATATGTTCTTTATGGATCTTGGTGCATACATTCCTCATAATCAATGGGGCGTCTTGCAATAGTAAACTAAGAGGCCCCTTTTTGCCGATAGAACATATTGATTGTTGTTCAGTGTGTTGCAGCATAGCTAAAACTAAAAATTACATTCTCTGTCTAAATTTAACATTCTCTGTTATAAGTAAGTATTGATTTTTTTTATTTACGCTCGTAAGCTCGGTTAAAAATGAATATTTTCTGTATTTTTTTTTTACAAACCAGTTAACCCCCATAATATAACTACCAATTAAAAATCCATTTTAAAATAAGAACATCCCTAATGTTGGCATGAACTTTTTTGCGTTTTATTATTCGTCCCACCAGTAGTATTTTCCAGTTCAAATAACATTTAGTTTTTCAAATATACGAGCGAATTCCGTGTGTGTTTTGTATAACGGTATATATTATACTATGTATGAGTTATGATTGTTGAATAAATTCTTAAAGATTCACCAATTGTTGTGGCGATGGCGATTTGCGTACCTCCTGTTGTTGCTGTTGTTGTTGGTGTATTAGATTCTGCTGTTGCTGCTGCAAGTCTTTACTCAACCTATAGCTACTCATCACATTGGCACAACTCTGATGAAAATATAAATTCCGTCCGCGGAAGAAGGACTCCGTGGCAAAATCCTTTATACCTGTCTTAAAGAGAAGAGCAGACAAATTTTGTGATTGCATTACTTCTGTAAGAAATATGAGCGAAACATGTACAAACGAACATAGAAACATACATATGTAGTTGAGTATATAAGAATTTTTATGTGCAAATAGAAATTGTAATATGGTAAAGAGACAGCGAGTATTTTAGAGATTAGTGCAGCGTTTTTTCATATTTAATCTTTGTTTTTATCAAGACGGAAGACAGAAACTCAAATTATTCGTACCTTACAAATGAAACATTTGTTTTCATCGTCCGGTTTATTATCCGAACTAAATCCCACCTTTAAGTCCATTTGCGTGTGTGCCGTTGCCATTAAATTTGTATGAGCGCCACAATTGCCACCGCTAGCACCATTGCCAACACCGCCGCCCCCTCCACCAATACTGCCCATGCTGTGCGCATTATCTGCCTCTACTTGTTGTTGCTGTTTAGCGCGCAGCTCCTCGAAGGTGCTGTATTTGGAATTGTTGTTGTTGTTATTATTATTAGAAATGTCAATGTTTGGCTCAGTACTGGTCACTTGCGGCTCCGAACGTGGCCGCTCCTGTTCGACCATCGGCGAGTGATTATCCGAAGTCCTTTAAGTTAAAAACAAAAAGATACAAATAAATGTAACAAAAGTAAATATTTTGCCTAAAAAAATTGGCGTATACTTTTAATTGCTTGCTTACCTGCTACTAACTACCGTTTCATCGAACTTTCGTTTTTTTCCGCTGCAGATATTCGTCATTTTAATAGAATCATCGTCATCGACAATGACGTCCTCATCGCTGTCGTTGGCATTGCATGTTTCCATCGTAACATCCTTGCCGTTACAATTGCCGCCGGCCGCAGCGCCACCGCTGGAGCGCTCATCAACGGCGCCACACGAGTCCGCGTTGTAGAAGTGATGGGTTGTCGATGACAGTTCACTGACATTTTTCACTGTAATTGGTGGTGAGAGTGAGTAAAAATAAATCATATACGTAAAGTGCACGGATGAGTATATTTGTTTTGCTTAAGATTTTATTTGTTTGCTAAAAGTTTCAGTTTTATAAAAATGTCCGGATGTTGAAAATTTAGGGTCAACATATGATCTGTTTGTAAGAAAAATGGACATACTAATTAAGAAATATTTCTCAATTGTTAGATACTCTTCAGTCTCCATCTAAAACTTGGGCGGAGGACCCCTCCAAAGATTATGTCTATCACTAAGGATCTTGCTAAGTGCTTGATAACTTTCGGATATTATTGAGTCGTTCCATTTTTAACTACATATATTGCTTCTTCTGATAATTACGTAGATTATTAGGCTCATTGAAGGACCAAGGTTAACGAATTTCAAGAATTTCCATTTTCTATACAGAGTCTTGTCTATTTTAGCAGACCTTTAGGGGCCATCCATAAATTACGTCACACAAATTTAAGGACTTTTTAACCCACTTATATCATTTATTACTGGTAAATCAGTTACTTAATTTTCGTTCTGAATTTGGATGTCAGAAACATTTTTCGTATCAACATCGTCTTCTTCCATCCATAAAGCATCGTAATCATTGATTAAACAGAGAATCACTCGAGCACGTCTAGCCGCAATTCTTTGAGAAGAATTGGCGCGATAGGTAACAGCTCTTATTTTTTATGTGATTGTTTGTGCTGATTGGTGGCTTTATATGAAGAAAAGAATAGCCCACATATGCTACACGACCTTTTAAATAAGTATGACTCGACACTAGGGCAAAACTATCATATAGAACTTGTTTCAGATGGGATGAAATCATTACATATTTTGAATTGTGATGTCACAAAGCTTTTGACCCCCCTGCCCCTTGTCACACAATGTCACTTCTGAGTGATACCCTCCCCCATTGAAGGTGTGACATAATTTATGGATGGCCTCTTACTACTTTAACAGACTTTCAAGCCGAAGTTGTTATACTGATGATATTCGGTCATCGGCTTTCATCCAAAATCCTAAAATCCTACAAAACTCCAAGAATAGTTATAACCCGTAAAAGTTGCTTACCACTGATATGTCCTTGTTGTGCAGTAATGGTGGGCGCTGAGTGATGCTGCGCCTGATTCCACGCTTGCGTTATATTACCGCCACTGGTGCTGGTTGCATTCAAATCATCCTCACTACTTGCCGTGTCCTTATTAATTACACAAGCCGTTCTATATAAGATGCCATCCAGCTTTCCTGGTTGGCTATTGCTGTTATGCATATTGCTGCTCAATGTTGTGTTGACAATGTTGCTGTGATGCCCGTGGCTCATGCTATTCACGCTCAGTTGAGAGTGCGTCGTCAATTCGGAGCCCGAGTCCGGAACATCATCATTACAACTCTCAACGTCGACCGTTTCGATTTCTTCCTGCATTTTGGTATCATCCTGCAATCATTTTTAAAACAAGTAAAAAATATGTCCAAATATAATATTCCTTAATATTTCGCTTTTCTCTTAGTAAATCATAACCAGAACAAATTATAGGTTATTTTCTTAAAAGGAGGGATTCATTTCCAATCTTGCAATGATTTGAATAGTACTTTAGCATAACCTCCGGCTCGAAGGTATTTACGATTTTTCGTACTATATTTGTATGTATTTAAGAAAGGGTTTCCGATTTGTAACAATTGTCAAATGTTTTAATTTCAGAGATCTCTTTTGGGACTGAAATTCTACCTAAACTATTCTACCTAAACTATTCCAAACTAGAAGTAAATATTACAACAGTATTAAAGTTTACTCATTTTTTGAATTGAAACTTTTTGTTGGTCAAAATAATTAGTTCGAAACGTCATGAATTATAGAAGGAGAAAGAATTCTCTCTTATAGTTGCTATGAAAGATTTTTAGTTCGTTTCATTATGTAGCAATATGCATACTCTATTCTTTTTAAACCTATAGTAAGGATAAATTTTGTTTCGTTTTTGGTAGAAACTTACCTCAGGTGGAATCTTTCCGGCTTCAATCGCATATTTTCGTTTGCATATTGGGCAGGAATTGCAGAAGAGATTTTCCATGAAATATAAATCATTGCCATATTTTCGTTTTCGTCCCTTTATTCTCAGACGATTTTGCCTATTATTGCGTATTCGCTGAAAAGTCTAGAAATAAAATTGACAATATTAATAAACCGTTAACTTTCTATACATCAAGCATTTTAAATACATAATCTTTGTTCTTAATACATCGGCAACACGACACTCACCTCCCACCGATTATGGCTGGTACGTATGGCGTTCTCCTGTGCCGGACATGGCGGTGCAAACATATAAGATGCCTGTAAATTCGTACGTTCCATACCCGAACTCAACTTATAGAGTCGATCTAGTTCGGTCAGAAAGTGTGAATTCCATTCTTCGGCCGAAATTTTGATACCACAGATTGGGCAAATATCTGGCACATGACCCGGCGGCAGACTGAGCGCATTCGCCAGACCGCCGCTACTATTGCTGCCACTCGAACTGCCACTGCTGCCAATGCCCACACCGACTCCACCGGCTGTGGTCAAGCCACTGAGACCACTCGCCACACTACGCAAACCGGCACAGCTTACCGGTATACCGAGACCGCCCATGCCGCCCAAACTCGCCGCAGCCAACAGACCACCATTCGGATGATGGTGATGGTGATGTGTGTGATGATGGTGATGGCCGAGATGACTTACTGACGCGGGAGAGGATGTGGTTGACGCCACTGAGGCGGCTACGGCAGCAGCGGCGGCCGCCATGGAAGTTGCTGTTGTAGTTGCTGATGACGCTTTGATGCCCACCATGCCCCCGCTACTGCTACTGCTGCTACTGCCACCGCCATTGTTGTTGTGTACATCTGTGGTGAAAGACGAATGTGTAAAAAATCAGTAGGAATCTCTTTTCAGCGCATTGTTTTTTGCTGTGGTCTGTTACAAGTGTTGGCAGGAAAATGGGCAGGTGAATTGTTGCCATTTGAATGGGTGATGATTGCGTGACTTGATACATTTTTTCGTGGTTTCGTTGCTCGTTTGTATGCTATGTTGCTGAGGCTTGCCAAACGACAGCAAGGACAGTAATGTGTGGGCATTTAATTAAATGTGTGTTAAATTGATTTAATTGGCCATTCGACACTTTTGAATGAGTGCAGTTAAGTGGAGAAAAATTGAGGTGCAAAGTTATGAAAACATATTTAATAAAATATATTACTGAGCAAAGTTTAATTTCCCACTAAATGCCCATATATGGCACTTAAACTACATATAAGTGGCGGCATGAAAAAGTTCTCTTTAATGGGAAATGCCATAAAATTTTAAATAAATGTAGTCTGAAGTAAATTGAGCGATTATTCGGTACTTTATAGATAACTAGCAACTAGTTTTGATAACTTAGGTTTTTAATCACTTAATTAATTTATTCATAAAACTAGTTTTCTCTAATAATACGATATTGGAGCTTTGTGCAATGAATATATCGCATTTGGCATACGATAGTGGTCTAATAATTATTTATGTATTTATAATGATAAAAGAGAAAATGATGTAGAACACTGATAGTTTTGCCCCTCAGGATACAGTTTGAGGACATCATACTCTGAAGATCGGAGAACGGTAATCAACACCTTACCGGTAAGTGGTCGACAGGGATGGGCTTTTATTCTTGTCAAGCACTTTATAGCGAAGGGAATCCAGCACGAAAAATCTAGGCGATATTTTCTTGCAATCTGAGAGAGAATTTTTTTATATTTTAAATTTGTATGATTATATTTTTTTTTTTGAAAAACTGACTTATGTATGACCATGTACCATATCAGTATAGAAATAGTTCCGATAGTTTTTTTTATAACTGCTTAAGTTTTCTTGACTAAATCATATATATAATATGAAAATGATATTGTATAATTATTTTGGCTGCTTTCTTTTTCTAAAGTCTGCTAAAAATCTGAATTGGTCCAATTAACATAGCAATAACGTCTGATTGACAGTTAGAATTTTTAAGAAATTTATTTATGTTTTTAAATTTTATTTTTACACACTCCGGTGAATATTTGAGTTATATGCGAATTCGAAAAGGCGTTCTAGAGTGCTTGAAAGTGCATTAAAATTTTAAAACGAGCTTCCTAAATATATTATTTAGCAATTAAACCATGATTTTTCCTTACCTAAAAATATTTTTTTTTATAAACAATTTATGATGAAATTAGGTCAAAAACGATTTTTTTAAACTGCCATTTTGTAGAGATTGAAATGTTTTAGATTTAGGATTACTTTAACGAAATCTTTTTGATTTTTTTCATTGCAGAGATCGAGTTCAGGATCGTCTTTTTTAGAGGAGCTTCGGAGATCAGCTTTAGTTCCTTTCCACATAAATATTTTTACTATTACAAAGTCTTCAAATACGATTAAAAGATAGCATATTATGTGTACAAATTTTTGGATCAATAAATTTAAAGGCTTTTTTCGGCCTTCTAGCTGTATATGTATAACCCCTTCATGGAAGACAATCGTGATTCGAAATTCGACTTTGAGAAAAACTTTAAGCGTTGTTATCTCTAATGTGGCAATTTAAACTTGTTTATATTATTTTTGTGAAAGAGCTTATATCGCTTACAACCATTTTTAATTATGGGTTCGCCGGAATAGGACTGCGCTACTAAGCACCCAATTATCCTAGTCTGTATTTTAGGCTTTGTGGTGAAGTCGTGCATGAACCATAATAATAAACACAAAAAATAAATAAATTTGGTTGATGTATTTTTCTCATCATTTAAGCCAACCTCTACGAGAGCGCTTTATTGCAGTTGACGGCAGAGTTGCATTTTATTTTAATTCATAAGCTCAAAATGGCATTGTAACATATCAAAAAGCGAAACAGTAAATAACGGTTTTTGTTATTTTATGTTTATGTGTGTGTGGCGAAACATAATTGTTCAAAAGTTATTTAATTTTTATTTTCCAACCGCTTCAACTGTTATGAACAGTTGCAAACGGGTTCGCTGGTTGCCCTTAACAGCGACATTTCATTTTGTGGTTTTCAGCTCCGAAAAGCAGTGCTTTGCTTGTGACAGTTTACACTTTTTTGTGGGTGTTAAATTTATTAAAATAAATCGCCGTTTGGGTGCTAATAAACAAAACATGATCTCATTCGTGTTATTGTGTCCATTTGAAATGTAATGCAACAAATTTAAATAAGAAAAGTTAACTGAAATTAGTAAATGTAAATGTAAAGTGTTATATGTAATTTTTAGAGCAGAGTATTTATATTTTTGAGTATAGTATCTTATTTGATTAGATATCAAATCACAGATGGTTCAGGTGTCTGGAGTTGACAATAAGAGAAATAGAGAAAGTGTAATAAGAAGTCAATAGCTAGATAAACCATTATATATGTTATCGAGAGTCTTTTAGTCAATCTTTTGAACATAAGCAACCAAGCCAATAAAGCTCACAAACTCACTTTTATACTCTTGCAACATGTTGCTACAGAGTATAATAATTTTGTTGTTTGTATCACTTTAAACTGGATGAAGAGACGAGTTTAAGTCCGAGTGACTACTGTCGGTCGGTGTGTCTTTCCGCCCGCCTGTGCAAGCTCTAATTCAAGTAAAATTTGAGAAAAATTAAGGAAACTTGGTACACATGTTTCTCGGCATTGCAGTTCGTATTGCAGATAGGCGTAATCGGGCCACTCCCACGCGCACCAAACACCATTAAGCCCCAAAATAAGATAAAGAACTATAACTTGTACACAAAGGATGGCAGTAATAAAACGAGACTGTGAGCTAAAAATTTTGAATAAGTGGGCGTGGCATCGCCCTCTAATTGGTTTAAAGAAAATATCTCCTCAACCAATTAAACTAGAGGATCTAAGTTCGCTCAAAAATGAATGAAATCGGAATATATATATACATATATATAAGTAAGTATAACTTGTATATAACACATACACTGGCCGATATATTCGAAATTAGATTTGTTACAAAAACGAAAATCACTATCCAATCGATTTTTTCTATACTATATGCTATTAACATGGCACATACTAATAAAATGAGATTCGTTAAGGTAGGATCATATGGAGTACAGTCACCCGGATGTTATATATATGTAATTTGGGGCTAGGTCACGTTTTCGCCCAAGTTTTTCCATAATAGGCACATCGCTGTCCCATTTTCATTGAGATAACACACACGTCGGCAGATACCCATTGTGGACACATAGATATGCCACTGCCAGGAAAGGACTATCAAATATTCGATACTTAAGGGCTTGAGCAGTTTTTATTTTCGATTTGGAAAATTTTTGCTCATAAGGTGGATTTAACTAAAGTAGGCGGTGATACATCAATCGTTTAATTTATATCACAGCTTTTATAAACCCCTCTCATACCATCTAAGGTTTACATTGTGTGTCTCTGGTGAATTTAGGAATTGACTTATCGCGCTCTTAGTAGTTTTAACTTTACCCCTACAACGGAAATGGACGGAATCATCCATTTTTACAGTGTCGGTAGGGATCCTTAAACGACTTGCATTAAGTGAATTTTTTATCGATTTGTCGGACTTTAAATAGTTTTTAATAACACCGTTATATGGAAGTAGGTTATTGCACCACATTTAGTGATTTTGGAGACATACATTAAACCAATAAGAGCGCCATGTCCCTTTTTTACACACACAGGGCAAAAAACATTAATAATAATCTAAACTTCACAACTTTGTATTTGCCTATTCTTTCCTCTAATATGAGAAATAGTGGATATCGGGAATGGGGTTAATAAAATAATGTGACGAATATATTTCAATAAATTGTATATTCCGACAAATATTTTCAAGATTTATTACAAATCTATCAAATTATATAAGGTGAGTTCCAAAGTAAACAAAACTAAAAAAAAAAACGGTCCAAAAGCATGTCGAATGAGTGTTCCCACGACAGCCGGTTTTACGCACCGGAATTGACTCAGATTTTATACAACCAAGGTCTATTTTTTCGGTGATGTAACCCCGTTTAGATCGGTAAGTGTTGATCTTTGTTTGTCGTCATTGGAGCAATGTCTTGAAACAGGGTTACTCCGTATCCTTCTGACTCGTGCTGGCATTGAGTCCAACCCGGGCCCGGAGGAAGTTTTTTGCTGCGTTTGCGCAAAAAGGCTCCATCCAAACTCCACCTCGGTCAGGTGTAACACATGTAATAGATGGAGTCATCTTAAGACCTGCTCAGACCTTAAGACCCACAGGGGTGGACGACGAGTTACGTGGCAATCAGCAAATAGTTCACGCGCCCCGCCACTACTCACCCCGAGTTCCTCCACGGACCCCAAGAGTTCAAACAGGACCCATAGCTCCCACTCTGATTTGTCCCCACCCAACCATCATTCCGCTCCAATCCTCGTGCAAGAACCAATCAGCAACTCTTGGTTCCTCACACAGTCTGTTCCGTGTGTCAGGCCGCCATACGTCGGAACGTCACATCAGTTAAGTGCAATTCCTACACTGGCTGGTGTCACTTCCCGGCATGTTCCGGCCTGCGCACCTTGCGTAAGTGAAGTGAGTCGTACGTTGAACCATGCTGCAGCAGTCCGCCCCCGCAGCACACAACAGTGGCGTCGCTAATCACCACCCCACGGCGACCCCTGCTCCTGCGGGTTCTGCAGCTGCAACAAACACCACCTACACGCTACTTTCTCACCCCCAGGATCACCCACGGACATCCGCGATAAACCCGCGTTCTTCAATTTAGCTGCAACGGACTCCAAAGTAAGAGCGAGGAGATAGTTGCACTTATTAATCGGGAACGCGTATCGATAGCTGCGGTCCAAGAAACCAAATTAAACAGCCACTCAGATCTTCTGAGTTGG